CTCTTCGCCCTCAGCAAGGTCTCGCTTTCAATGGGTATAAGAGTTCTAACTGGATGCTGTCCGATCGGGATTCATGCATTAAGATTGAACATCTCAACGGATGCCACCCGCTTAACATGCATTGGTCTGATATTGGCGGTTCCGATAAATGGGTGGATTCTTGGGAAAAAATTATATACAAGAGATTATTGCGAGTGTGTACAGACGAACAGGCATGGCTAATCAACTCAGCTCGTCGCGCTGACAACTAAGACCGCGCTCCTAATATAAGCGAACCTGCATTCGAACTACCCTGTATAATTTTCGTTCTAACTCTTCGAAATTTAATGTAATAAATCCTAGTGGAAGCAAGTAGCCATACGGAGCACCCTGTCTGTCAAATATGTCATGCGGACGTAATGTCAGCAAATACCCATTCGAAACCCCCTGTATGTTTTCTTTTAGATTTTTACATTACATATTTTTTTAAGACCTAGCCTATATATACCATTTTACTAATTCTTACTCCCTCTGGCATTGCCAACGGAGTAACTTCTATCGAATCACCCTGTATAATTTTTTTAAATTCTTGAAAACGTCATTTTTAGTTCCAGCTCTTCCAAATCTGTCGTTGCAGACGCAATGTAAGCATATCTTCGAAGCACCCTGTGTATTTTTAGGTTTTTCTATTATGTACATTTATTCTTTTCAAGATTTAGTTTATATATACTACTTTATTAATTCTTACATCTTTTAGCATTGCCAATCGAGTAAAAGCAAGCCTCCACTCGAACTACCCTGTACAATTTCTTGAATTTCTTAACAAAAAAATAATAATTTCCAGTTCTAGCGCATAATTTTCAGCGCAATTTTCACTAACTGCTAACATTTCATTCATTCGCTTTTATTTGCTTTGTATACTTAATGCGTCTTCGGACGGCACAAGTTTCTGATCCCGCTTAACTGCTTTATATTTTTTCTATTACATACATTTTAGATTCACTTAACATGTTTTTCGCCGAATGTCATGACTTTTTTCTAATTTGTTATGCAGCGGCTATAGCCTAGCATTTTATTTCGCGCAGCTCTCTTTCTTGCTCTCCAAACTTGTGCGCTGTCTACATATTTTATCAAAGCAAAGCAAAAGACTCGTGCTACCAAGGCTTGGCATTGCAATTCGCTGCTGCGCATACTTTTCATCATCTACTTTTCCTCTTCGCCAACCGCGCCGCTCACTCTCCACGCTCTGCTTACGTGCCCCTAATAGTCGACAGTGCAACGCTGTGTACTCCCGTCCGAAATTTCTTGCTCCTTCAGTGTTTTTTACGCCCTCTCAGCCTTGCATAATTTATGACCGGCATGCAAATAACAGTAAAATCGCATGGGGTCTATGGTGGTAGCGTCGCGCTTATTTAAATCTGTTTGAATTTTTATTCTCCGCCACATAATTTTCGTGCCTTTGTAGTTTCTTTGTGGCTGCCGACTGCTGAGTGCTGACTACCTACTGCCGTCCGCCGCCCGATGATTAAGTGAAAGTGCAGCCTGGCTGCCGGTCGGCGCTTTTGTTGTGCGCCGCATTCCGTCATGGCTGCTGGTAAGCTCTGTAGTTATGCATGTAATACGACTGATAATAAGCGCTTACAACAAAATGCTTTTTTTTCCCTCACATTATATTTCTTACACCGAAATTTAAATAGGGAAAGGTTCTTTATAAAGTATTTAAAGTGGGGGTTTTAATGGTTTGGGGCTGGACATGCTTTTTGAACGGAGGAAAAATTTGTATACTTTATGTTTTTTTGCTTCTAATTTTAATGCTGACGTATATTCATTTAAATATATCCGTCGTGGAGATTCAGTCACGATAAGAACCAAATTTGAATAAACGAAATTTCAGTTCTTTCTACCCCTATCTACCTATTACCTTTGTCGCTATCTCCGAAAAATTATTTTTATTTGCCTCTTCATTTATCTTTATCTAATAATAATGCCTCCTAAGGTCTTTTAGGAAAACTGTATGACTTACTGCTGGAAACTCGGCTTTAACCGCTTAGGCGGGGTCTATATTAATAAAGAAGAAGAGCTCTCATGGGGATGTAAAGAATTTCGGGCCTATTAGCATCTCCTGGTTTTCATTAAAGACGCTGGATAGCTTGTGTACCTGTATATCAGAAGCAGCATAACAAGAGACTTGATGTAGTGGGCTCAGTCCGCTTTCAGCAAAGGCAGATTCCTAGTGCTTTGTAAGCCGTTGTGTTACGGCTGGTGGAAGCGTTCGTGTATAAGGAATATGGGGTTGGAACATTTCTTCATATTAAAGGAGCACTAAACTAAGTAGTGCTCTGTACAGGTTTGGAGTTGAAATGAGCCTTAAGCATCTTATATAATATACTGTCTTCTTAACGACAGAACTGCATGCTCTAGGAATGGTCAATAGAGGCATCCCACAAGTTAGCGATATCTACTTTACTCTAGATCTCAGTGGTAAATGACTTTGAGAAAGAGCTCGAAGGACGAGGCTGTCGGATGATAATCTATTCAGATGATGGTTCTTTTATGGTTAAGGGTTATGGTTACATTTTACAAGTACAAGGGTACCTCAGAGTGGCAGCCAGCTGGGGAAAAAAGCCGCTTAGCTCCAAATAAACTGAACTCCTGCTACTGAACTGAATTTATTGTCTAATTGGGATCCTCTTGATTTAACACTGTCGAAAAAATGAATTACTTGGACCTCAGCCTTCATGAAAAGCTGGCACAGCAGTCCAATGGACAGCGTGAGGAAAATATTGGTTACCTTACATTGCTGTTAAGGAGCTATTGGGAAGCGATGACACTTCATGTGATTCTATATATAACGTAGCTCCCATGAACATAGCCGGCAGATGCATTACAGCAAAGGTTGCTATCCGAAAAACTAGCGTCTGCATTCCTGATAATTTGGATCACGAAAATTCCTTATAGCGGCATTTTCTTTGCGCTCTTACCTCCTTCAGCTATGTGGGTGGGTTGGAGTTGCTTTAGAAAAGTCGCAATGAGATTTTACACAGATATATTGAAGTTCAAGGAGAGTGGAGACTTCTCTTCTCAAACAGATTGGAACGTAAAAGGTCCATTGAACTGTTGGCTCTTAGCAAGGTTCACATCGCCGCAATAATAGGCGTCCTAACTGGACAATGTTCCTCTGAGTCCTCCTCTCTGCTTTCTTTTACAATGAGACATGAGATCTCTAATTAAAGCCTTTACTGCTGCTTGACCAGAGAAGGCTCCAGCATTCACTTTAACTTGCGAAAGCAGTCTCGTCAGGCTATATTTATCACAGTTGGAAGCAGCAGTGGGAAAGACAGTAGCCTTATGTGGCTTAAAATTGCATATAGCGAATTTCATTATGAGGTCCCAATATAGTCTCCTTAGCCTATAACGTAACTAGAACCTCTAAATATTTATTAAATGTTTTAGTATCACATTTTTGTTGTTCTAAACCGACAACACCTGCGGACTTGCTACCCCAGAAGTCACAACAGCTGGCGGAAAGCGACCATAAAAAAGTCACAACATATGTGCACCGTTATAGTGGCATTGCAAACACCTTTCTGTGTATGTATGTACTTATGTGTATCTATACAAATATGCAAGCACACATCTCCCTTTTTGAGCGAAAACAAAGCCTTTATCCAATTTATTTCAATCGGCACATTTTTGATGATTCAATAAAGGAAGACAACAACAATGCCATGAGTATTTCAACAGCCGGCACATTAAAGCTCAACAAAGTCATATGCATAAAGCATAAAAGCGAAAATATCTTTTATAACGCACACAGTTACACACATTACAGTGCGTCGGCGTGCGTGTTAGGTGTTGCAGGGGAGTCGTGACACGAACTCGTAAAATACAAGTGGTGTAAAAAAATTTCGAAAATATGTCGAAAAACAAACATAAATAAAGCGGCGACATTTGAAGTGAGCGACGCCGCGAATTTTCAATAAATGTCATAAAAAATATTGATGGCGCTTTTGGCACCAAGCGGACGTTTTCGGGCGGTAGAAAGTGTGGGGCGCAGTGCTCTAGCGTTACTAAATATTAGCGTTTTTTATGGTGTAGAACAGTGGTGTGCGAAATATATATAATCCCGAAATTTCGGGATTTTGAATTGTGAATTTCGGGATCCCGAATTTTACGTTTATTAATTTAAAGCGCTTACTTGGTGATGTAAAAATCTACGCTTTACTCTCCTAAATAAATATAATAATTCGGGATCGCTGTGGAAGGCCCTTATTTTTGGGTTATAATAGATTGGATGTACATTAATACCAAAGAGAGTTGCTTTAAAGTTTGCAAAAAAAGCGTATTTTTTCCATTAAACCTTATATATGATTTTCGGGATTTTCTCAAACAATACCTCCATAACCTTAGTAAAGCGTTGTTACCAATCTAAACATTTTAATTTTTCGTTGAATATATAAAAACGGAGAAAGACCTAAGGAATTTTCATTCAAACCGATATGAATTTGGGATACGAAATTGGGGAAATTGGTATCCCGAAATATTTAAAATTTTTTTCTCACTTTCTGCAAATATTTTTGTGGTATAGTATAATATGCAATTGGTATATTTGTCGATATAAATTCGGTACACAAAATTGCGCAAATCCGGATCTGGAAATATTTCGGGATATTTTCAAAAACTGATTACTTGCAAAAATATGTTTATTTTAACAGACACTTCCACAAATTTTGGAAAATCTTGACAACTACTTGCGAAAATCGGAAACAAGAAATATTTCGAAATTTTTTCAAAAACAGGCTACTTGTAAAAATATATTTATTTTAACTGACACTTCCACATTTTTTTTTTGAAAAATTTTCAAACTACTTGGGAATACTATTCAAATTACGAAAATCGGGATGCCGAAATATTTCGAGATTTTTTTCAAAAACAGGTTACTTAAAAAAAATATGCTTTTTTATAGAAACTTTCAAATTTTTGTGAAAAAATCTTGCACAAAAATCCGGACTCCCATACTACAGGTATACCACATACCATTGAATGTCACCTCGCAACTGTCATGAAGGCGCAGACGTAAAATACGAAAACTTTTCATATCGATCAAAATATTTATCCGTGCTGTAAAAGGGTAATAACCGAATTTTGGCGTCGATAAAAATAAGATAAAAGTACATTGAAAGGCAAACGGACGATAAGGCTAAACTTGAAGCATATGCGAATGTGAAAGGAGGCTGAGGAAAGAAAATTACAACGATTGTGAGTAAAGAGAAATATTAGATAGAGGAAAGGTGGAAAAGAAATTCCTTTACAGCTGTCAAGAGAGGCATGTGGATGCCAAAAAAGTTTCCAACAAACAGCATACAGTCGTGTACGTGAGCATCAAGTGAGTTGAGCGTGAGTTTAAATAGTGAGGCAAGGTGTGTTGCTGCAACGAAACTAACTTTTAAGTTGGCCATACGGTTGGTGCAGAAGAACGTGCCTAGGGAGGTCACGAAACAAGCCTCTTTAAGTAGTGTGCCTTTCCAACAAAAAAAAAAAAAAAAAAAAAAACACCTGCATAGTTGGCTAACGAGCAATCTCGCGTACAGTCGTGTATTGACTGATTTTTTCGTTGTTGGACTGCCACTGTGTTATCGCGACTGCCACTTTTCTTTCAACCTACACGGGACCCCAACTCTTCAACATCCGTTTCCGCTTAAGTGCTTCCCACATATCCGCTGTTTTGTACTTGCTTCCTTGCGCTTCGGCTAAGCAACATATTTTTCGTTTCAGGCCGCGTTTTCCGTCTTTGCTTGGCGTTTTTCCATTTTTCCATTGAAAAGCTGAATTTGAAAGAAACGAAAAAGAAAAGAAAATTGCCGCAAACTGCGAAATGTCACGGCGGACATGCATGTGTGCCCTTAGCCGTGGCATATTTGTTCGTGTATGACCCCACTCTCCTGAGAATTTCCCTTAGTCATTTAATATTCAAGCGTTGGCGAAAAGAAAGTCAAGGAGACTGCTATAAATGTCGGTGTGGGGTGGTATATTGATTACATATTTCCAGCAAATTGATTTTTGACTGCCAGGGAACTGGGCGTGTAAAGTGCGCGAGGCCCGGGATGTCCGAAAAATTCATTTTAGAAGAGTGCAGGTTGTGGGGTGTAGCGTGATATTATTTAGCTTATATTAGAGTGAAGTGTGTGTAATCTAGATAAAACAGGAAGTTTCTTATCTCTTGAGGTATAACTGGCGATAAATATAGTGGCGAAGGGTTTTAAGAAGCTTTGCGTGATAATCAATATAGGGGTTCTTTACATAACTAGACGAAAATGTCTTATGAATAAATTTTGGTGATAGATGACATACTCGTATTGTAGGGTCAATAATTAGTTAAGGATTATGAATGCTGAATAGTGTACCGCTTAACATTAGTGATTAATGTTGAATTATGAGTCATGAATTATGAATTTTGATTTCTGAATTCTGTATTACGAATAAAGAAATATGAATTATGAATTGCCAAATATGAATTGTGAATTTTAATTTAAAAATATTCAAAGTTGACTCATGAATTATGAATAATGACTTACGAATTATGAATAATTATGAATTATGAATTGCAAAATATGAACTATGTATTTTAAGTATGAAGAAGTCATAAGGCTTATGAATTATGAATTATAAATTATGAATCATGAAATATGGAATTTTGAATTATGAGTTAAGAATTAGGAACTAAGAATTAGGAATTAGGAATTAAGAATAAGAATTAGGAATTAACTGAAAATTAGGACCGAACCTTTTGATCATTATATCCTTTATATCATCGCCTTTCAAAGACAGTCAAAATGTCTCTCAGATAATGACAAACCGTTTTCAATTTTAAAGTCAAAAACACTTAAAAACAACAAAAAAGCACAGAAGTGTTGTTCATTTCTTCGTAACTTCATGCGTGTGGGTACGAACATAAAAATTGTCACATCATTGGCAAACTCAATGGAGTCGAAAAAAGGAGGCAAATGCTTCATTTATGTAGATTTCAGCTGCAGCTAGAATGCTGCCAAAGCTTTGTGAGACTGAAGGGTGACTCGTATGCGCATACTGAATGCGTGTAATATTTGTTGTGCGAGTCTTCATGTATGTGAGCTAGTGTGCTTTTTGGGGCGCTTGATTTTTGACACATATGAAATTGGGAAACGAAGTCAACGAGAGTAACGCCGTGAGCAAGTGGGTGGAGACGCCGGCAGTGAAGTACAGGGAACTTAAGTGCGCGTTAAGAATAATAAGGCAGTGGCGCGTATTTTCTCCCTCATTTCCTTTGCAACTTTTTCACCAAAGGTATATTGAATTTAACATACTTTACGGCGCTAGGAAAAATAAAGAATTTTTGAGCCAAAGAGGGAAATCGTGTATGAGTTTACCCTTGGCATTATTGCTATTATTGCGCTGCTGACTTAATAAAGCTTTAAATTTCAGCTTCCGTTTCACACACCCACAAATGTATATTAAATTTTTTGTTTGTTTGTGCGCTTGATTTACATTAAAGTGCGGGTGTTTTGATCAGAATCAAAAATAAATATATATCTAGGTAAATTTTAAAATAACTTTAAAGCAGGCGGAACTGTTTTTGTTTCTTTCGCACCACGCAATGACTTTTGTTGTCGTTAAAGGTGGGGGTACACACACACCGCTTATCTTTTTGTTTGCGGCATTGTTATTATTTGCATAACGCCTAAAAGTATACTCCGCTTGTGGTACTCTGAAAGCGCTGGTAGCGTTCTCCATCTTTTACCGTTATGCGCCTCGCTATTTCCATTTTACTATTATTGTTTTGCTTATTATAAGTAATTTTATTTTTTGCCGCCGAAAACATCTTGCGGTTGTTTGCTTTTGGTTTTTATCTCACTGTCGGGCTCCTTGGCGCCCGCAAGTATGCCACATTACTGTGTCGCACTGCAATGTAAACAGTTGCGCGGTGCGGTAGCATTTGCGCGGCTTGTCTGGCATTTTTACACGCCCATTGACTGACTTGACTGACGTTCAAACACTCAGCGTTGCATACAAAGTATTTAATTATTTGCTTTTAATTAAAAACATACACAAAACTGGAGCTGACGGCAGTGAGATGCGTGTTGGCGTCTGGTGTGTGATCGTCTGCTGTTCCGCTGTAGTTTTTTCCGTTGTTAAGTTGAAGTATACTTCTTGGCGCGTTGTTTTGCTTTCAGCAAAAGTAGCTAAAGGAAAAGTAGCTGGCTGGTAATTGGTGGTTCGTTACGGTGTTTTTAAAGCAGAAAATATGGCATTGTTTATTTTAAAGTTCCCTGAAGGGAGGCTAAGTATTATTTGGCGGTTTTGGTTTGACTTTTGTGTAGCTATGGTATTAAATAATGTTTTAGAATATAAAATGTTTAAGAATAACTAATGCTTTGGAAGTATTCAGTAATTTTTGTAGCAAACATTCGAAAAGTATGCTGTATTTTTGCAATCGCAGCATAAAAGCATACCAAAAGGAGTCTAAGAATTTATAGAATTTTTTAAATATGCCTTCCGAACAGCTCCCACATTAAAGGGCTTACAATGTAGAATAAGACATTAAAACCTAAAGGCAGACTATGAAAAATTATGAAATTATTCTTTAATTTTTAGAGAAAACGACTTGGAAGTATGTTGCCCTTTCGGTAGAGGAGCATAAATGCGTGGCATGGATGAACATGCTTTTTGAGCTGTTTCAATATTAAATGACTTATAATGGTTAATAATAAACTGTTTTTATACTATATTAAATCCAAAATGTAGGCTGTGAAAATCTTGTTTTGCATGTAATTGTTAATTTTTGAACTGTACTTTTGATATAGGTGCATAAAAGTTTGACAAAAGCACCTTAAGAGTTGGTAGAATATTTCCATCGCGCTTTCTGAGCTTTTTTCCACATTAATAGATCGGCACTGTATAATAAAAAAATGTTCATATACTGTATTCAATCCTAAATGTAGACTATGAAAAAATCTTATGACAGTTTTAATAATTTTTTGAGGAAAAAATCCAAAAAGTATACTGTAATTTTGGTATTGTAGTATAAATGCTAGCCAAAAGGAGCCAAAGAGCTGGTATAATTTTCCCAATATGCCTTTCGTGCAGTTTGAACATTATCTAGTTTACAATGGATAAACAAAAATTATTTTTAAAATTTATTGCAAATGTAGACTATGAAAGTATTCGTTTCAGGTCTTCTTCACTTTTGGAAAGAAATATTCTTAATGTATGCTGTACTTTTGGTCGTGGGGTATAAATGTCAGTCCAAAGCAACCTAAGAGTTTTCCAGTTTTTCAATGTAATTTCCGAGCTGTTTTCACAATAAATGGCCTATAATGGATAATTGTGTTTTCTGCTGTATTGGATCCTAAATGTAGACTATGAAAAATTCCTTTGACAGCATTAATTGGTTTTTGAAAGAAACACCCTAAAATTATGCTGTAATTTACCTATCGTAGCATAAATGCATGCCTAAAGGAGCATAATTTTCCGGAAACTCTTTCCAATATGCTTTCTGAACTATTTCGACATTAAATGGCTTACAATGTACTATATAATACAAATTCGTTTTATATTGTATTGAATTATAAATGTAGACTAATAAATTTTGTTTTTTTAATAAAATACCTTAAAAGTGTGTTGTGTTTTTGGTATTGGAACATAGACGCATGCCAAAAGAGCCAAATTGTTGGAAATAGTTTTCCAAGATCATTTTGGAGCAGTTTCCACATTTAATTTTTTCCTGATATAGAACGTCAATATCAGCAGCTAAAATTCTATTATTAATTTAGCATATCTAATCCTACTAAACTGTTATTTATGACTCAAAAAAATCTATTTATTTTCTTATTGCATATGTACTTTCAGGTAAGCTTTATGGCTTTTGTACAGCACAACGTTTTCCAGTAATGACTCGTAAGTAATTTTTGCACGAAATTAAGAAATTAAATGCGATATTTTATGAAGTACAATGAGGTAGACACAGAAAGAGGCATACACTAATTAAAAATTATTTTGGCAAATTAATGAACATTGTGTAGCCCTATATGTGCTAAATGGGTAGTGGAAGTATAAGCGGATATTCAATCGCACAATGTAATTACCCACATGCTAGAAAATTTGCCGAAAAAGGGGCGAAACATGAGTCAAAGATGTAAGATAACAACAACAAGTGTTTAATAAAGTTTTGTGCCTTAATGTATACACATGTATATGTTTGCCCTCATACATTAACAACGCTGCGCTGTACCACAGAGCGCGCAATACATGCAATGAACCGCCGCTAGCACTGGAGCCCGCATACACAGAGTGAAAGCGTTGCAAATTCGCACCAACGCCGAACTTGTGGCGCCCCCCAACTTTTCCCAACATTTCTGCATTTTGCACTTCATAAATCTTCACTTCATTGCGCACCCTTTGTACGGCTTCGATGGGCGCACTGTGTGTGCGCCCACAAGACCCACACTGATAAAACAACAGCATCACCAATCACCATTAGTGGTGGCAACCACCACCGGACTAGTGCCATCAGCGCCACCAGCCACCAGTTAGCCCATGTGCCGTTAGACAGGCAGGCGCCACGCTAGACTCTAACTACTTAGCTGCTATGCTCGGCACGATAATGCCATATTTGCTGCGCGGTGACCACTTGCGCTCACAGCCACTCTGTTTGCCGCCTTGTTGGGGGCGCTACGACCGCTTGGCAGTCAGTTCATTTGTAACGCCCGGTTGACCAGGCGATTTCATTGAAATGATAATAATTGGATTAGCGAAACATTTAGCAGGCTCAGCAGCAGCGGCGGCAGCAGCATCAAGCATTCGCTGGGGTCGCACAGCGCGCAGGTGTGGGTGGGCTGGCTGTGAAGGCGCTAAAGAGATTGGCATGACCGCATACATGGCAGGCAAGCGGTGGTGGAGGTGACGCTGCCGTTGGCACTGCCAACTCGGCAGATAGTGCCGTTGATTTTGTTGCTCCACTTGTTTTTGTTT